TAGCCGAGAAGTACATCAGCATTCTCCGTGCTATTTACCATCAAACTTCGGGCTGTGTGCGAGCATACGGAAGTGGAATGCAAGCTCCCTACTGACCAAGCAATTGCGCCAAGACCAAGAGTCCGAACCCCAGAAGTAGACCGTCCCAAAAACCCCATCTACCTAGCTAATTTCGTCAAACCTTTATAGCAGGTTATCAATTGACTACATTGCGGTATTAATATAACATCTTGGTCAACGCGATTGTCCTAGTCAGCTCGAGCGATACGGTCGGCACGAACGGTACGGACCTCACAGAACTTGTACCTCGAACAAGACGGAACGCACTAGTCGAAATTCGCGGGACGTACCGCTTTTACCTGCGCACATAACCCAGAAAGGAGAGAAGAATGGCATTTAGCACAGCACTTTTACGACCCAGCAGAAAGGCGATTACATGGCCGAGTAGTCTCAATTTTATACCGAGACTGGTGACATACATAGCGGAGGCGAATACAAGGAGAAGGGGCGAAGAATAACGTCCGAGTAGTTGTGGACGTGACAAGAGAGTTTATACGCAGTGTGAGTGTGGGCGAGCCTGAAATGAGCGTCAGTGGATGTGGGTCGTGAAGTCACAAAAGTGCGATGTCTGGATCACGATCTGTACGACCTTTTTGAGAAACAAGTGTTTCTCGTAACAGGTTTCTGCAAATCGAGGCAGCCACGGCGCATAATGGACGCAGATGAAGTCGGTCAACGGCAGACATGAACTGGCCAAGGTAAGCAGTAAAGCTTCAGGAAATCGCTTAGGGTTTGCTGCCAAACATCATTTGATGAATATCGGCATTGCTCCCCGCTTATCCCACCAGATGTCAAGTAAAGAAAGTGCTTTATGCACCCTGTACTGGTGAATGTACAACCGTAACATACACGCCTTCAGCGATAAAGCATGAAGCTCAAAAAAGTGGATCATTAATTGAAAAAGTAATACTATCATAGCATAAACCGGTTTGTTAATTCTTGGACAACTTGTTTCGGTCTAGCAAAAATCGCGCTAGGTAGAGGATAATTGATGAACGGTACGATCGTGTACGAGCATATATAGATCTGTACTTCTGTCTGATTGACAAGGTTGACACACATTCAAACAATACACAATGGAGGGGATGACTTGTGTCGGCAAGTACAGTTGATGCTAGTCTCTTGCAAGAACCAACATGAGTGAATACAAGTATATCAAGAAACGTCAGCTTCGACACACGGACCGCATCTCGACTAGTGTCTTAACGATCTGGAGATTAATTTAAAGTCCTTGCCCAATAGACCAAGAAAATTACTGATGAGAAGTACGTCGACTGTGGAAGAAAACAAGCAGGGACAAAGCGAAGTATCAAATCGCGGGGCACAGAGGAAGCGTAGAACGACAAGTTCCGAACTTTTGTTAACGTTTCCTTTATATGGTGTGACCAAGATAAATAGTAGCTTAGCAAAAACATCCAAATGCTTTACCGATATGGAAGAGTAAAACCTTTCGCTATAGATGTTGAGTACCAGGCATTGTTGAAGAAACTGTTGATATAGATCGTCCCTGTGCAGTGAAAAAAATGACAGCATTGCATTTTGACACGTTGAGAGGCAACTCATGGCTTTTTAGCTAAAATGTAAGATCGTTAGGAATATCTTGCAATCTGGCTGAAGAGACAGTCGTCGATTGATTGAGACCCAGGACAATATCATCTACGTATTTCAGCAGAATAGCCTCTCCTGGGAGCGGTATTGAGTTTATTTAGTTGGAAAAGAGAAATGGTGACAGGATAGCTCCATGAAGAACCCCGGAGTTTGTGATTAGGGGCGAGGAGCTTCTGCCCTCAAATCGGGTAATCTGGGTATGACAGATAAAATAATAATAATAAAATATGACAGATAAAATAACCCCTCAAAAGATGGACGATGGAAGGATGTATGCCAGCACCGAGTAGATCTTTAGGCAGTAATCAGCGGTTTACGCAGCCGAATGCGTTGCTGGAGTATACAAAACAGGCTCGAGTGAAGTTGATTCTGTTGTCCAAGAATGACAGAACCGAGTGCACAAAGCAGGCTACTGCGTCTTGGGCTGACCAGGAACTGCAGTAGGCAAACTGAAGAGAAGCAATTGATTTCTGTTGTGTCAGAAACCTCACAAAAATGCTGTTTTCGAACCCCTTCAAGGCTACCGAAGTACAAGCAATTGGTCGATATTTGTTTGAACCCTTTTTTGGTATTGATGTGATACTGACAGCTCTCTAGTAGTCGGAAATTCTATTGTTGAATGCATATTGTGTATAAAGTAGCCAGAGGTTTGGCTAGAAAGTCGACACATTCTTTGAGGACAACGGGAGATACACTGGACCACTTGCTTTCACTGAGTGAGGCTGTTTCAGCAACTTGTGTACCGTGCCACTGTCGACATGGGGGGCAGTGAATCTGCAGACAAGTAAGGTTGGGCAAAGGACGATTCAGAGATCGAGTTGTTATAGCTGTTGCAGAAGTCATGGTTCAGTTTCTCCACATATACGTCGGAGGTTGATGTCCGTGGAGTAGGCCCACGTAGTTGTTTTAACATCCACCAGAGTTCACGGCAGCTACTATTCCCAAGAGTAGCCTGGACGTACACACAGTGGAGACGCCGCAACTTCTCCTCTATAGAAGCAGATATTGAATTCACTAAAGTGTTGTCTTTTTCTTTGAAAGATTTTGCTTTTCGTCCTCGTAGTCGCTTTAGGTGGGGGGGGGGGTTGAAGAGAACTTGTCCGCACGGATGAACAGTTTCGTATGGACAGCAAATCAAAAGAAGTTCAAGTGACTTAGTAAATAATAGCAATACGTGTATACATGAGCGTCAAAAATAAACTGAAATCGGTGGATGATACCACTTCCCGAATTCGGTCAATATTGTGGGCGGAACACCGCCTTAATTGAACTTGCGGTCGTTGCAAAAATATTCACCTTATGGTTTGCCTGAGAGTAAACCACAGGACAGTTTAACTGTCGAGTGATCAGAGCTGTCTAACAACGTATGGTTACACATGTAGAACAGCTTCACGATATTAGCAAATACTACATCAAGAGTTGAATGGGATCTAGCGGGGCCTTACGACGTTACGTAGTTCACGACTTATGAGAAAAGTGGTGTCAACTCCGTTAAAATCACCAGCAATACTACGCATGCATCGGGGATTTAACACGCTCAGATGTTTTATGTCTTCACGGTGAAATGACTACTTCTCTGATGCATACAGGGACACCGGCCTTATCGCAGCGGTATACACCCCATTTTTCACTGTCAGCCAGACATGACACCGTCACCTCAGGTGGCTGGGCCTGAAAAGCCTCGCGCAGTAACCTACTCAATGATGTGGCCAACGAAGGTGACACAAGTAGCGATAGATGTGGCTGTTCGTTGACAGCTGGAATCGAAGGGGAAGGGGGAGTATCAGTTATTGAAGGTGCAAAGCACATGCTAAAGCGTGCAGCGCTACGAGTCAGTCTATCCGATAGTGTTTGCATGACTACTGCATCAGAACCAAGGAGAGCGATAACGTCGGCATACTCAGGGTTTGTCAAGTGATAACCTCGCAGAAATTCCCCCCTCGGAAGAGCCTGAAAGCACCGAGTCAATCATTTCGATCACAAGGTTGAAGATAGGAGATATAGGACAATCCCAATTGTCGCAGAGGAACTAGGAGACAGATTCTCGTAGAATCTCATTCGGTCTCGGGAGTCACGGTGGCGACTTCAGATTGGAAAGGAATTTCTCAGGCACTCGCATGGCGGAAATGAAGTGCTACAAGCTGCCTTGGTCAACAGAGTTTGAGGCGTCTTTTAGGTGCGAGAAAACCACCATAGTCAGTCTTCTGTCTGCCCTAACACTTAACGAAAAGTAAATATGTAGTCGCTACAATCATGTCCATGATGGAAGCCAATCTGCTTTTCAGTGAGTCTGCTCCCACGAGGATCAGTAAGTCGTCGAAGAATGAAATAAGTAAGAACTTTGGAAATAATGCAAATAAGGCTAATCCTTCGGTGCTTTTAGCAAAAAGTCCACTAATCCCTTTTTAAAGATAGCTCGACAGATGATATTCGCCTGTCTGGAGGCACATCTTCAGTGTCATAGATCGCGCTGAATAGAGCAACAAGTTCAGTTAACGAAGAGTCAACTCCATCATTCAGCAAATATGGAAAATGTCCAGTGGCTTTGTTTCGTTTTAAAATGGTAAGTTCCGGTAGTCCATCATACAAAGTAGGTGTGACATTAACTTCCCGTGTGTGTTCAGATGATTCTTCAAGTAACAGTGTCGCAGCAGACATTTTAACTGATCTTTAACATATTCCGTCTATCTTTCGCAGCTATTGTTTCACTAATTGGAGGCCTTTCCTGGACGCCTTTAAAGAATTCGATGAAATAGCATTCGGCTGTTCCCGACAGTACTGAAGCTTTTCATCTGACTGGTCAGTGCCATTCCTCAACAGTCCTGCTTAATTCGAAAACACCTTGTCAGACGTCATTTAAGAGTTACGGACATGCTGGAACTCAATGCCCGTCGGAACCTGTTTACCTGTGTCTATCAAACTGATTGATGTCGCAGAGATGCAGTCACAGTTCGGGCGTGCATTAGGCGTCAAATGATTCTTATAGAACAATTGGGAAGATCCCATTGGTGGAGAAACTGATTCAATATAACCAGTCAAGCAGGTTGACTACAGTTCACGTGTACAAACAGGTTTTTTGTGCAACAAAACGGAACTCCAAATTGAAGTAACAGCTTCCAGTTAACTACGAGAACCTGCGATTTGAAAGGATAATGACGCACCGGAGAGGAAGCGAGGGCATCTGTCGCCAGAAAAGAAGGTGTAGAGTAAAATGTAGTTCGCACACGAAAAGTGGCATACGACAGCAAGTTAGCACTGAGAACAGACGCATAGTTAGCCGAATCTTAGTAGTAGCAATACCCATTCTAGCAACATTCATTAAAGAAGCATTTCGTGAGAGTATTTAATTGTACTAACAAAGTCATGAAGCGCTTCGATGAATGAAAGACATCTTGGATAAGGCGCAAGTGAGTTATCACAACGTAAAGTAAACTGTAAAGCCTCAGTAGAGGAATAACCGTAAAAAAGTGAGAATGGACAGTTAAAAAGAAAGCATCATAAAAACCGTCGAAATAAGGTCACATGGAGTTACAGCACTAAAAACTGGTGAGCGTTCCTTGCGAAGAACTTCAGCGGTTAACGATGGTTTGAAATCATCCGCTTCCTGGGACGTAGCTAGAAGTGGAACAGCAGATGAACAGGATTAGGATAGCAAGTGCAAAGCAGCGAATCGGATGCAGCGCAATTCCGCTGTGCGAAAAGCGATTAAAAACAACGCAGTTCACCTTGCACTGACCTGAATCCATGAGAAGAATAAGTATCACGTAGATACGCACGAGCGTGCTTGTTTCATAGTGCAGGTCAGCACGACGTAGTATCGTGTATCCCGAGTTTCACAATGATGCATGCGATATTTAATCCTGGCACAAAGCCCAATGTGAATAGATAAACGACTACTAACGGAAGATCTGTGATTTGGTAAGAGGCATGACAGAGCGAACAAAGTATCATCACCAACATCGATACAGGTTAGCTGGTGTTGAGAAACTTCCGTTGATGTGCCGCAATACAAAAATGATGAGAGACTAAACATTAGAGAATGCAAAAAAGTAAGAAAACAACACAATATAATGCTAGTATCATATTACGCATGTGTGAGACGGTGGTTAGAGGAAGAAGATAAGCAAGAAAGGGAGGGACAAAGTGACCTACAACACAAACGCCATTGAGACGGCTCTTCGCTATGTCCACAAGTGTAGCTAACCAAACGTGTTCATCGCCATTCGGACTCTAGCTCGGGATGTGTCAACCGTAGCCAAGTTCGAGGTGAGTGACTTCATTCTCCTTGACGAGGTCATCGCTTGGCCACCCCTCCTCTTCGACCATCCACGTCCACCCCAGCGCGGTAACAATGCACGTCGGTGGAGTCGGTGGGCTGGAATGCGCAACACGTGGCCCAGTCATTGGAGCTTCTCTGCGCGGTATACTGATGTTGAGCGGTTCACTCACTTTTCCTGCGTCAAATGGGTGACGCAGAACACGCTTATTGCTCACGCGGTTCCCACCAGACATGAGCTAAACTGTGAAGGCCGCGCTGATCGAACGTAACTAACTTCACTATGTCGATAGATCTGATGGGCCAGGTTACGCATCCGTACGGCAGTACCGCTGATCCCATTTGAAAAGATACTAGTCAATAAAACGAGAAACGACGTAATCTAATGAGGCCTGACAAACATAGCCATATGCTCATCGATGGTAGTAGTGTGTGTACCTGCGACATGGTCAAACGCAAGTGAGAACTAACGGGTTTGTATTGAATATGTGGTGTGCGGATGATGTAGCGCGAGTCATCCTTGATCACTCAGTAGATGCAGACGCCCTGGCGAAAAACCCACAACAGAGCTGATCTTAAGTTTGAAAACACAACACAGTCAAGAGAAGGCATATGGAACGACAATGTACACGCAAACTCCCAGGCAAACTCAACGACAGATACCGGTGTAAAACTGGTATGATCAACCATCAGAAGTGAGTGGATGCGTAGGGAAAAAATAAACAGAGGCAGTTGACGAAAGGACGAGAAAACTCACACCAGCTCGGATCGGTATAGCGGTAGATAAAAGGTCCGCGAGCGAAATGATTGGAGAGACGATGGATCAATTTCGACCTCTTCCTCTGAAGGCCAAGTGGTGGAAAAATCTTGATAGGAAAAGTGCTCAGAGAAAGCCTGCAGACAAACGCTGCGATGCCCACGACCCCGAGCATCCGCAGTCATCTGAGACGAAGCTGACGATTGAAACAAAGGCTGAACGTCCGCGAATTGCAACACTTTAATGGGAGGCGCCCGACTAACATGGCCGACGAGGGCATTAAATAGAATGTCCTCGCAATTTGAAAATGTGTTGACTACCTCGTGACTCATGGGTGAAAGCACCTGCCAGTATAGATTGTGATAGTGCCTGGAATGTGATGAAAAGGATGCAACGCTAGTGAAAAGTAAGAAAAGCGAGACAACGGTTAGAGAACAGAGGAATCTGAATGAGTAGAAGTAAGCTGTGAACCTATCAGTCTTAGCTCAATCCGGATAAAACAGAGAAAAAACTATTAAATTGTCTGACCGAACCCATGTGTGTGACCCTGATAAGTCATGAGAGTGAGAAAGCCCAGTACAAACCCCATGAACCCTTGCAACAGTCTGGAGCAATCATGCCAAAAAAGGACTCCTCAAGCACCACAAGAGTCACATGTGTGCTATATATATACTATACAATTACTGGACGTATATGGATGGTACCCTCATTGTCTGCTATTCTAGCACTGATGGTGTAATAGCAGTCAATGAAGGTACCACCCATATACATCCAGTAAGTGCATAGTGAAGCAATAACCAGTGAGATGGGACCACGTATAGTATAGCCTATAAACTGACCACCTGTCTAGGTTGACCACTTTTTCATAGCCTGGACGGTCACCGTGTCAACTGTATGCCAACCAGACCTCTGTATGTTGACCATCTCTGTAGATTGACCACTTGGGCTATGACAGTCACTAATAATTCAACCTCCATAAGTCGACCACTTGAGGGATAACCATCCAATGGTTCCCGAATGGCTCGTTTGTTCCGGTAACACGGTGTACAGTGGGACTGCAATGTGTGGACTTCTGACCCCTAAATCAGTGAACCTTAAGTTTGAGGCTACAGCGTGTTCTCTGCGTGTGCGTATTTGTCCCGGCCGTCAGCATGTACGAGCACGGGTATTAGCTAGATCAGTGGTTCTCAACTTGGGGGTAATTATCCCCAAAGGGGTAAAAATGAATTGTACGGGGGCAAACATAAGTAAGAGGATTGGATCATTAATCTGTTGCCGAACAAAAGAGGACGAATTTCTACCTATAAAATCATATGTATCAAAACACGTAATTAACTACCTAATAACTAATGATTAATCACTGTTGACTAACTATTAGTGAGTGGTCACTGAATTAAACAGCTTTCGGCAATAAACTGTATTACTTAAAATAGGAATACAAGCCTGCGAAGCAGCGCAGCTAGATGGCGCCTCTATCGGCTTGCTCGTCGATTGTTGTTCTGAGTTAGGCAGAGTTTGCCGGGTCAAATTACGGAGTGGAGTGATCACTAAAGTGGGAGCATAGGTCAGCCGACCAAGTAAAGGAGCGAGCTAACGTTTAGAAGGGACAGAACAGGCGATTGGTGTTCAGGACTTAAGGATACGGAATGATGCTGGGAAGCTGTCATCCAGGACGGACTTGGAAAGGATGATTGAAACAAATGTGAAGCCGCTGAAATCTGAACACGTTTGATAATGGATGGTACATCAAAGCAAGGAGTCGTATGAAGCTGGAGCACGACTTATGACTTGCGTTAGCCGAAAGCGCATTATATAAACCAGAAATTGTTGAAACTGATCTATACTAACTGTATCACTAACTTATATCATCTGTTGATTATTTGAAAATTGCGAAATTAGTATTCATTTTTCGTAATTTAGAGCAAAAAAGGCAATAGTTAATGGGTAACCAGCTTGTTCAACTAAATTTTTGCAGGGCAACTTTTTATAGTGAACCCGATTTGTAAGTAACAGCCTCAAAAAGGTTGAGAAGCACTGATCCAGATCATCGCGGGTCCCCACAGATCCGCCTCCACGGAATGACTTAGAACGATTTGTGTGCAACCTGCCTCACCTGTCCACATACGCATGCAAGTTTTCCTCTACCAAGGAGAACGTGTCCACTCATCGCACGGATTTTGAGTATGCCAAAAACCTTCGATTAACCACAAGATCTAAGCATCAGATTGACATTTACGCCCAGGTTAATCGTCGAGCGTTTATTTGCCTACATTTGGTGCCGGTCTGAGGGTGAAAATAACTGAGATTAGTTGAAATGGTGAAAAATATCTTACAGAATTCCGTGATTTTTCCTCTTTTCGACAATGCCTTATTCTCAACACTATTCAACTATGATGTTTCCACGAGAAGAGAAAGCGGGCAGATAGAATTTTCAGAATCGCTGTTGGATTCTATTTTTAGAGCTAAGCCTCAAGGTTAATGTGCTTGTTTTATTTTTCTACTTTCCTCAAAAGTTCAGCAACCTCACAGTTTTCCGTGGGGACTATTGTAGTTTCATTGTACCCCTTTGTGAACAATTCTTCCCTTTCATGAAATCAGAAAAAAATCGGAGAAAAAGTCCAACCGATCCACTTTACATTCCTGATCATAGCTGGAGCTGCACATATATTTCGGTCAGAAATAGCAACGATATTATTAAACAGAGTGGTGACGTGCTTCACCTTATCAAAGGATGTCGTTTACCACCCACGACATAACTGTAAGAAAAATAAAAAAAAACAATGTATGGATATATATATATATATATATATATAGTGTATAGTTCAGAAATAGGCTTCTCGGCAAAGTGTCGGCAGTGCTCCGTGGAATAACTGTCCTTTGGATTTATCGCATCATCTCAAAACCCAACACTATCTTTGTGTTTAATTCACCAAAACACTTTCAAATGAAAGTATGCGACCAAGTAAACTGAAAAATCATTTAGAAAGTGTTCATAAAGACGAGGGCGGAAAATTATTGGATTTTTCAGAAAGCTGTGGGAGAGTTTCGGAAACCAGCCAACTTTAATGACCATGGTTTCTGACAGGGTAAACAACGGTGTGTGGACTCACGGCGCACAATAAAATCAAAAAGTTGATAGCGAAAATTGCAGTTCACATAATGTTGGAGAAAATGTTATCTAGGCACTCAGTATTAACAGTAATGTCTGACTTGATGAATATGAATCCATTAGAAGCAGTTAAGCCACTCAGCTCAGCAATTTGGCTGTATCTAGGCGAATAGATGAGATGGGTCAGGACATAGAAAGTACCATTAGTTGCTTTACTCCAGTTCGGAAAATTCTCGTCACAATTAACTGGATGTAGTTTACCTGACAACGACGCTCTTCTCGTGGCATATGTCCGAGTATTCATTGATAATGAATTAGTGGAAGTGATGTTATTTGCCAGAATTAAAACTCATACAAAAGGGCCAGGCAATATTTGAATTAGTCAACAGCTATCTGACCGGAAACTCCATTCCAATACAGAAGATAGCTGCATGTGCAACAGATGGTGCTGCCGCCGGAAGATATTGTTGTGAATGGTTATCACGAGCCACGGTCTGTCTGGCGATGCACTTCCAGTGCATTTCGAAATTGATACGGGCAGTGCAGTGAGGTTTTGCAACGAACGAATTTGGTCACGAAGACTGATACTAAGGAGCCACACTAGATAGTGTCAGGCGACTCTGTGATTGCGTACATACACGGGTGGTGAAGTGAAACTGCTGGGGTGCAGGACGTTATCATATGGAGAATCGACAACCCGAGAAAGCATTTACATCGCACTCGGATATGGTCCAAACCTACTGGGATTCGACTGGATCAGCCAGCTTCCAGTTCTACGGATAAACCAGATTTCCCTACCATCGGGGATACAAACGCTGTTCCAGGAATAAGCACCAGTGATTGAGACACCGGAGGAAGAATAGTTCACTGGTGGACAAGTTAATATCTATATTGTACCTGACACACAACCACGATTCATTAAGGCTCGATCGCCGCTGTAGATGATAAAATCAAAGGTAGAACCGGAAATTGATCGCCTACAGAAGAGTAGCGTTATAGAACCAGTTGTTCCAACACGCAAGCCTGATGGATCGATACGCCTAGTGGTGACTATAAAATTACCGTCAATTGCAGTGTTCCGGCTGAAAAATACTCCATGCTTGTATACGCATCACAGCCGTGTCTTTTGCGTACCCGTTTACTTACTTACGATATATATAGAGGATCTATTGTCCATCTAAAAATGTTCACCCTTCTGTTCATACAATTCACTGTGTGATTCATCGAGAGCACCTAGCGGCTAAGAACTTGGGAGGGCGCTCAAACGATTCACTGTTAACTGTTATAATAACTGCAAACAATATCAAATCGCACCCCATTGAAGATCGTCCTTTATAGCAGTTTAATGAGGAGAACAGTGAAGGTTTCCAGGTTTTACTGTTGCCTCCGGAAGTTAGATGGCTCTACAAGGGAAACTGTCTTCGCTGTTTCGTTGCACTGTGGGACACCATCATCACATTGCTTTCTGGAAATGATTATGAATAAAATTGTTAAGTTAGACTGTATTATCTGGCTGTTTTTGAAGAATAATAGTAAATGAAACACCCCAAAGCAAGTTGAGTAATTTCTACTCCAGCAACGAAGTCATTATGACTTTTCTTAAAAAGCTGGAAGTGTATGGTCAAAATATCGGACGTCGGGAATTTTAAGGTTCCCAATTCTCGCTCAGCCACCGAGGAGCAGAAGGATGAAGACTTGACTTTATGCCGGTGTTGGAGGCGTAAGGAAAACACAGGTATACTTGTGTAGTCGTTCATGACTGCAGACTAGAGTTTTTCTGTGTTGCAGAACATTTGTTACTACCGCTTGTTTCATACCACTCACACGTCCCGTGATTCTTTGGGATCGATAAATTCAGATTAGCACACAGCCGTGATTTGAACTGTAATCAGAGTGTTTTCATACCCACGTCGGCCCGTGCAGTGTTTCGCAAATATACTTCTCGTCCGGGGTGTTGTCTTTTGACTCGCGTGGGGCAATCTAAGAAGCTGCTAAGTTGAACCCCTGGGGACACAACAGCCGGTCATTTACAACAACTCCGAAAACAATGGAAAGGCAGGTCTTATGACCTGATTGACATAGAAATTCTGAGTTGGATTTTAGATACCTTTGAGGTACAGTCATGCGATGTTGGTGATATAATTCAAATAAATCCCATACAGCCTCAAAGTGACACACTAGAAAGCGCCAAACTCAGGTAATATAAAGTGGATTTTTGGATAAAGAATGATGTGTTTAACAGATATCCCAGGATGTAGAAAATGGAGGCAATATATTTCCTTGGTTTCTCATCTGCATACTTGGTTGAATGTAGATTCAGTAGTGGTTTCTTAACCAAAAAGTAGAAGAATATTGCATCTTGCAGAAATAGATCTTTGAGTCTCGCTGTCAAGTCTGGAGCCGGACACAAGCAATCTTACCCAATGACATCAGGCTCAAGGCTCGCATTAATGCCAACAAACAACAATAACAACAAACAAGAGTACTACACCTCTTAATTCATGATATGCCTTACAGTTAAAAGGAAACAAAATGTAAAAACAAGTTTACATATTAGTGGTGACTTTTTGCGTAATTGCAGACAAATGGCTTGGATGTTGCCGCACAATGAATGTTATCTTGAGGCTGTGAAATTTAAAGAATGATGTCTTCAGGGGAAGGAGCATTAATAGCAACATTAAAAATTTAGCCAACATAAAAAATATAACAATATGGCCACTGGAAATCACAGATTTACGTCTGTTACGCGTTGTGGATTGCTGAAATAGTGGTGATCAAGAGTGGAAAGCTCTGAGAAATGGAAAGGTTCAAAACGGGGCCACGGCTGAATAAAGGTTGAGAATGCCTGGTTCAGATGCTCCATTAGAAGGTAAGGGCTGAAAACGTGATCACAACCGTTGAACGCTTTCGTGCTGCTGTCACAGATGCTTTGGCACCCATAATATTTAAGGATGGTGGTGAGGTCCTCCGCAAAGCACTGACCTCCCTATTCGAAGAGCTCTAGAAAGCAGAGGCCATCCTAGCTAAGTAGAGTGAATTGATTATAGTGAAGATTTACAAGTAGGGGAGTGGTACGGACTGCTAACCACAGGGACATTAGCCTGACGCCAGTTGTGACAAAATTACTGGCCTCAATTATCGTTTGTTGCCTCAATGCGGAACTAGAAACCCGGATTAGGGAGGAGCAAGCAAACTTCCGTCCAAGACGGGGCTGTATAGACCACACATTCACTCTGCGGCAGGTGCTGGAGCAGCGCCACACGTATCGCAGACCGACAATAGCTCTGTTCCTCGACCTCCAGAGTGCGTACGACTCAGTCGACCGATGCATTCTGTTCGAGATATTTGTGCAGGTGTTCCCATGAAATGTGAACAGTTTAGGTGCTTTATAGTCAAACAATACGGGCCGCGTCAGGGTCTGGGGTGATCTGTCGGATATCTTTCCCACAACTAGTGCATTCGTCAAGGTTGCCCAATTTCCCTGTTTTTATTCAAGTTCGTCGTGGACTCTGTCATGGAGTCTTTCAGTGCGGAGTCTCACGATGCAGGCGTTGAGGTGCTGCCTGGTGAAAGCGTTGTTGATTTTGCTTACCCGGACTATATCGTCCTGCGGTTTAACGATGAAGTGGCGGCGCAATCAACCCTGAGTAGCCTGTCTAGAGTGGCAACATATTGGGTATGCGCTTAGCACCTTCAAAGTGCAAAGTGTTGCTGCAGTATCACTAGCCACTTTATGACCCCTTGACACTTGGTGGCGAGGAACTCGAGGTAGTTAATCAATTCACTTACCCTAAAAGCTGGAGTGGCAGCCGGAGTCAGTTCAGGTATTGCAAAAGTCAGAAGCGCCTTTTTGAATCTGTGATATCTTTGTCGATAAAACGGGGTTTCCCTCCATCTGAAAGACCGTGTTTACAAGGTCACAGTGAAGGACGTCCCACTCTTTGGGAGTGAGATTTGGCCCCTCCGATCTGAGGAACTGCGGCGCCTTCAAGCCTTTGATCATCGTTATCTTCGAAGCATTACTGGTATCGGATGGCACCACCGTATCCGCAACGATGATGTACGTAAACGAGTACGAGGCAGTGATAATCAGTCACTCCATGAACGAGGGTTGCGACCTGGTTTCAACTCATCAAGTAGAGATAGCCGAGCTGGGAGTGAAAGTCGGCACACAGTGCTTGGCGGCTATCGTCACGATCACCAGGCCATTGAGCGCGAGCAGTGCTTGACACAGCGGTTGGAAGTTGATTTTAGGATTTTGGAGCGTGTCACAATCCAAGACCCACGGCGGGAGCTCCAAAACCTGAAAATCAACTAGGCTAGTTCTTTAGAACAGCAGATAGCACTGAATAAGTTGCGTTGGCTTCGGCATGTACAACGTATACCTGGCCACCGCTTATCGAGGAGGGCGTTATTTTGCTTGCCAGATGTAGGGCGGCGCAGGTTGACAGAAATTAAGTTAGCAGTGAGAAATGTGGTCCTTGACGACCAAACCAGGTGCCGTCGCTCCGTCTCGCGTTCCAGGCTGGAGTCCACATGATCCACCTTGTGCTTGGCTCGACATTACACGACATGGTTCGCAGTCGACACCAGTGGCACGGCTTCTGCCGTCGCGTAGTCGGACTGCCTGTTTAAAGTGTGTTTGGTCATGACTTATCTGCGGGATAATAGTTGACGCAGAGCAGTGAAAGCCGCAAGGAAGCTATCTTGCCGATGCCGCCTTATCTTTGTACGATAACCAACTGTTTGTGACGGTATGTTGTTGACAAGGTGTAGGGGCCTTGATCCTAGATGTTTGCATAGGGTATAAAGGTTTTACGGTAAGTTCCCCTTATTTCCCTAATTATTTTTCGTTCAGTAGGGCATTCTGATTGTACGGCAGCGTAGCAACATTTTAAATGCCTGATGTGCTGGTGTTGAAGATGATGCTGCTTCTGCTGATGGTGATGATGTGGATGATTACAATAGGTAGAAATGTGTTTAAGCTTTAGTTAACTATGAGGGATTAGTTAATCGACTTAGCACTACAAGAACACAGCAAAGAGAGGGGGAACATACAGACAGAGCCTCACTTGTGGTAGAAAGCAGCGTTCAGCAATATCATGGAGTAGGTATGAGAAGAGTTTCCCAAATCGTCCCAATGCCACGATCCTGAAGAAGAGTTCCACCAGTGATCTGCTGAGCGGAAGCCCACCAACCGGTTTGGAAATGCCTGCCAGACTGAATAGGCGAAGTTAAGCTGCGGGAAGGAGGAAAACAAATCGCGCAATGCAAGAAACGTAAACAAGTAAAGTAAACAAAGCAAGCTGTGTAGCCAACAAAAGAAGCAATAACAGAGTTGTGATAGAGAGAAAATATCCCAGGTCAGTCTGAAACGACCTAGCCCAACAGATTCCGGCCTATAGCCGGAACGCGACTGCTGCTAGTGCAGCAACATGCGCGGGCTCAGTCAGTGCCCCAAAGAAGAAAAATAAATGATGATAAGCCTGTATGGAAGTTCTGCTCGAGAAACTGTCAAAATCGATGGAAAGGGTCATCAGATCTCAATCAAGTGCATGAGTGATGGCAAGGGGTAATAAACCTGTCAAAATGAGGCATAAGGGATCGATACAAAGTCGGTTAAAATCCTCTAGTGACGCGTGTGACCGGTTTTCAGTAGGTTCCTGTGGGAATCTGCAGCCACACTCCCGAGATAGACCTCCTTAGCATCGTGCATGGGTTAAGTAATGAGTTAGAGGGCATGAGATAGGGACCCCTGAACAAAGCACACTTGCGAAACGGGTAGCCTAGGGTCACCATCGACATGGAATAATCCTTCGAAGTCACAAAGTTTGCACCAATTCAGGGAATATCAGAATGATGTCAACGGCAACGGGTACTTGTTTCCATTCTCGTCCACCAAACCGCATATCAGCTGAACGCCATGGAAGAGCCCTTGAACGTAGCCAATTGAAGAAATATGTGCGAAGCTGGTTGTTTCATGCATGTGGCAGTTGTAAAGTTGTTTGTTACCGCTGATTGACTAGTGCTGCAACCCAATTAACCGATGGATATTAAGGGCCGAAAAATGAGTATATTTATAGGTTAAGCACAAAACCTTGTAGTTATGCATGTCTTCCGTTGCTCTATGCCCTGGCATTGATTTGATCGATTGACTATCGCTTCTACCATATATGGCGGTGGCTCGATTCTGCCACGTAGTCGCGGTGCGCCGTAATTGGTTGCCTGCTCGTAAGGCCAGAGTTAGACTCGCCCATGCTGATGACGATGAGTGATTTCCTCAGGCTCTCACTCGGAAGGCGGCAGGCGCGAGCAGCGCCGTCCGATGTGGCTATCAAGCAATTAGTGTTAAGTTCTGTTCACTTGATTAACTATGATCCGGGCACCAAAGAGCGATGTATCCAGTGACCAGGAATCCCACAGAGAATAACAATAAATGGTACTTGTAAAATAGTGGAACTTAGTGCAAATAGAATGTAAAGAAACGGAAACAAAGAAATGCGGTAAACTAACCAGAATGGAACGAAAATTAACAACCGGAGGCAAGAAACCTAATGCAGGAACGCCACTGACTGTGCCTCGTCTAACACGATCTCCAAACATAGGTGCGGACCATCCCGAGGCCCTCATTTACGAACACGGCACCCACCACCCTGACCAAGTCTCTCAGTCAATTCCTTCATGACACTATGCCACGTCATGGACTGGCCACCTCGCAGTTTCACACAACTTGGTGCAGCCATGGCGTATGATGAACGCCGAGGAAGCCGGTCAACGAGCATACGAAGGACATGGTTCAGCCAACATAAACGATTAAGATTCAGAGAACACCCAAGTGAAGCACCAGAAGATCTCTTGCCAAAACCAAATGGCGGGCTTCAACAAAGTTTACTCGGTGTTCCCACTGCATGTGATCAATACTCCGCAAGCACCGGTGGTCGAGAACTTAATGACTTTGCTGTGAACTGGAGATATCTCTGATCTATACAGTAACACCGGCCATACCGCAGCATTACACACCAAAAGTTTCACTGATAGGCTGATATCCCACCGTCTCCATAGATGGTTGAGTCTCTGGAAAGCCACATGGGCTTTGTTGGTACGCGAAGTAACTTCGTCAATGATGTGACTGCCAGAGGTGACACGGTTACCAAGGTAGGTGAACTGATCCACCACTTCCAGTGGCCGTTTGGTGATAGCTGGAAGTTGTGGCGTACCGGTCCAGTCCTGCAGCAGTATTTTGCACTTTGAAGGTGCAAAGCACAAGCCAAAGCGTGCGGCACTATGCGTCAGTCTATTCAGTAGTGATGGTATAGTCACTGCTTTAAACCGAAGAGCTGTCGCACGCATACTCCATGTTTGCCAATCACTCATCTGGCAGAAGTTCCACTACAGTACAGTATAAAAGAACAGTCACTCATGATCACTTCGATTTTAAAGTTGAATAGGAAGGGAGATACAGGACAATCAAAGCGAACCCCACTTGTGGTAGGAACCCAGGACACAGTTTCACTTAGAGTTTTACACGGTCTCGGGAATCCGGTATAAAGATTACAAAATGAAAAGGAAGTTAGCCGGCACGCCCTTCTTGGATAGGCAGTGCCGGAGGCTGGCGAGGTCAACAGAGTCGAATGAGGCTTTTCAGATCAAGAAAAACAACCATTGTCGACTGTTTGCATGTGTCTCTGTACCAAAACTTGGCGAAGGGTAAATATGTGGTCGATACAACCACGACAAGGGCGGAAGCCAGTCTGGCTTGAGGTGATTCGGTTCTCACGTGAACCAGAAAGTTATCGGAGAATAATACCACGTGAGAAGTTTGGATGCAACGGAAATGAGGTTAATGCCTCGATTATTTTCATACAAAGTGTGCTGACTCTCCATGAAGATGGGCACGACAGTTGATAGTCGCCAGTCTGACGGCACCACTTCAGCGTTCAAAATCGTGTTATGTGGAGTACTGGGTCCAGCCAAAAATGATTCACCACCATATTTCAGCAAAGATGGACGAAGGTTGTCGGGTTCAGGGGACTGATTATGTTTCCACAAGGATAGCTCATGTCATGGGAACTGTAATATCTAGCTCCCACGTCGGCTAACCCGATTCGACAACTGACAGTGTTGCAGCAGGGTTGCTGTACTACTCTACAAAATGTTCCGCCCAACGCACTAGTCGACAAAGTCGAGAATGGATCAAGTGTTTATCTTGCTTAGCTACTGCTTCCTTGATAGATTTCTCGAACCGGTGCTCCGGATGAGCTGGAATAGCTTTCGGATATTCCCAATAGCACTGGCTGGCTCCATCTCACGGGCCCTTGCCATCCACTCACGTTCCCGGTAGATTCGAAGACTCCTTGTCAGACGTCATTTCAGGAAGTTAAGAACACGCTGAAACAGTGCCTATCGGAACCTGTCTCTGCGCTTCGATCAAACTGATCGATGTCTCAGAGATCCATTCACAGTTACGACGTCTCAAGTTGGGTGCACAGAAGGGGTCAAATGCATTCCTCATGACATATTTGAGACGATCCCAGTCAGGGTTCGGTTCAACAATCACACTATTCACTGACAATTAGTGGGCCAGTTCGACACGAGATTGTTGAACTGCAGATCGCGAGTTCAAGATGAGGTTAGTAAATAGGTGCTTTTTTGAGGCTGAAACAGCGAGCACCAAAAGTGCATGTACTAGAGCATGATTGGAATTCAGGTAAGTGATCCAATTTGATCGAGCGTCTTGGACTGATGTGTGTCATCTGTAGCTGATGGCGTATGGTCAATCTGAGTCCAGGTCATTGAGGAACTCGGTGGGCGCCGGGTGAAGCGGTGTGGACATTTGTGATAGAAAGCACTGCTGCTGAAGTGAAGGTTGTGGTCAGTGTAACGCTGTAGGAATCGATCGCCATGGTCTATTTGGCGTGCATCGACTTCGAAGCGGACCCTTGGAGGAATTGTTCAGTCTGAAAGACGACTCACTTGAGCATCAGCAAAAAGAAGGAAATGAGCTACTTTTGCCATAAGGATAGGAGATGAAAATGGCGGTTAGAATCGTCTTTGATACCGAGTGAATTGCATTCAGTAGATGCATAAACTGAAGCGATAAAAAGGAATGTTGACTTTGGACGGTGATTGTTAATTCCAGTAGAGATTCGAAGTAGAACACCACACATTCAGCCTTTCAGCGGCGTCCAGTCGAATAGATTGCTGCGAACTATACCAACACCGTAAATAACTTGAGCCATTGACTCAGTATCATCAGAGACGAGAAGGGTCTATCCATCTTTGTCAGATTTAGAATTAAAGAGTCAAAATCCGTCACAAAAGTATCTTGTGTACGTGTTTCGGAAACAGTAAACATCAATATCGAGAGTGAAGAGAGTTAGTGCTGCCTGCTGGCCGATCACACCCAAAGTGCGGAGGTTAAAGGAGTCAATGTGGAATGAAACTCCAGGTTTGTTGGAAGAGCTACATGTACGATGGCAGCAGGTGCGACGTCAGCGGCAGTCCCTTGCTCAATAGAAGGGAGAAAAACAAAAAAAGGGAGTATTATCGACGGGGTCGAGAGGGTAAATGATACTCTCCGGCTGCCCATTCCGAGAGAGGGGTTTTGCTCGAGGTGCCCTACTTCTACCCTTTGACCCAACAGTCTGACTCACAAGGCAGAGGAGTACATGGAAGTTCGTTTGAGGGACCACCCGGAGCATTTGGCTCAATAGCCTGACGCACAAGGCAGTGGAGAGTAAACCCAGCTCGGGACTGTGAATGCAGATACCCTTAGAGATCTGATTGAGGCCTGCCACACACATATTTTGGAGATTTAGAACAATGCACACGTGTTTCACGACCGTATTATGTCACGTAACTATGACCACGGACTGCCACCTGTAGCAGTCCGTGGGTTTGCACCGGGGGCTGTCTGGCGGGCGGTAGCAAACCACTGAGCACCGAGAGGTACCCTCCCACTGTCAAAGACAATGAGTAGCGCTCGTGCTCTACGCCAATCTTATAACCCGCAGATATGCTATCTCCCATTGGTAGGTTTTAAAGGACGAGGGTCATCGACTTATCTCTCAAGTCCGAAGAGGATTGGAATGTGAGACTGTTAATAAGACCCCTAACGACGCGGCGTAACTCGATGGGTAACAGGGGTAGGCAAACCATCGCACCATGCTAAGGTACAGACTTGTTGCGATGGATCGAGCAATTACCAAGGTATATAAAAAGTATAAAACGGTCCGACTGCGTGCTTATAGTCTTCCCATGTAGACATCGATGTTGCCGTACCGAAAGCTCAAAAGCGAAGGATTAATAAAGCACCAGCAAGAAAGAACTTCACTTAGAGAGGATACTCCGGATGCAGCTATTTCGCGTATTCTCGTCAGTCGTTTATATACAGTTCGTGAAGTTTAGGTTGAATACAGAGACACACAAGATATAACGTCATTAGTGGATCGGTGGCAGACAAAGTTAACCTGACGCTGGACGACATTCGCCATAGAGGAATGGGGCCAGCGGTTTCACCAACGTGAGAGTTAACTGGCTACAGACTCGATCTGGTTCCATAGACGTTCATAACGATACCATTCAAGAGAGACCAAAACGAGAGGGGATAATAATATCGTTTACATCAATCCATAAAGAAATGTTGTCGGTGGTACTTCCACCGAGGCATTTCTATGCTACGCTACTAAATGTTACCGAACAACGCACTGAGGATGTCAGCTCGACTGGCGATGAAACGTACGTAAAAAGTAGCAAGCTCAGTGAACAGTTCGATCACCAATTGTTGTTAAAATCAGTTATAAACAGGCCAGACTCTCGGGATACCGCCTCATGCAATTACATGTTCCACGTACTCGCGGTAACGAGAATGTCGGTCGAATTGAGAGGGGACTGTTCAGAAGAATTTAAGGACATATTCCGCGCAATCTAATCGCGAATGGTTCAAAGACGCCCACTAGTTCGATCGCCCAACACATACTTGACTGTCCAATGTGTAAAAAACCGGTCGAGTAATGGAGAATAAGTAACTGACAGAGCGCCGATCGCCTATTTCGGTTTGCCGAGGCTGTGGCGATTGGGAGGCTGAAACCTAATCTAAGTGAAGAGACAGAGTTCGTGACTAGTTTCGCCTTAGCTTGGTGGGGTCGGTGGCCACATGCAAACGGATGCAAATCCATCGGACACCGATGTAGAACAGAAAAGTAGACGTCTCACAGTGGAAATAACAGCAGCTGTGCTCGAACCTACTGGATTCTAAATGGTACGGATAATGAACGGGAACGTGGGAACAATAAAACAACATCACATCCAAGTTGATGATTATGCTCGTTGTTATCGAGTGAAATGAATTTGATACGGTGATAAATATAGCAAGAAACCGCGGAGAGAAAAAAAAGCTACATTTTAAGAAAAAACTAACCCTTACACCTGAATGGTGTGTAAGCCAGTAAAACTTACTTGTTCCATGGATATGTTTAAGTTCAATCTGAAAGCAAACACAGCCAGGGTTGGAATTTCGAAAAATGGTTGAAAAGCGACCGAAGAGGACGGTTGACCGCCAGTCCGCATTTGGGCTCGAAACTCATCTTCAACGACGATCTCCATTTCCACGGGGACGTACGGAATGAATGTGGATGGTGATGGTGGTGGTCGAGTGCACAACCAAACGAGGATGATCTGATGATGGGCAATGCATTGAAAAACATACATCCCGAGTATAATGATAAGAAGGAGCAAATAAATGGTACAGATACGTGTGTGTCACTTCGTTAAGGTCGATGTGCCAAGAAAACTTTGTTAACTTGTTAGTCAGGAAAATCTCGAAATACATCTCAGGAACTCGGTTGGACAAATTAGAAGCGATTATGAACTCCGGAGAAAGTGTAAACGATAACCAATGAGGCAACTGTTCTCCAGCCTATTGGGCAACATGCAGTAACTGATGTTTGTTTGAAACAGGTCGTGTCTAGCCACCGCCAATGGGCTATGCCTGAGTGACTGAATGCCCATTGTACGCTTGAGACATGATGTCGGTTCTAGCAGTGCTTGATACGAACATCCAACAGGTTATCACTCGTCCGATACCGATGCGTCAATTGCTGGTTCACATTGAGATTGCCGCACCAAGTTATCCACACAACGTGTACTTCAAAATGACTTTGCAATCATTCTGACAATCATGTTTCCCCGACGCTTACATCGATGGGTGGATGGTAGGAAGCGGTCACGTAAGACACAAGTGCTCGAAAACGTTGTCATGGTGTGCGTTGCGACAGTAGCCTCTGTGTAGTGTTATGATTCTGCAGTACCACTACATGGACTCACCTAACAAGAGAGAGCTTTGCACTGGCCAGGAAACAAGTCCGATTACTATCCGTATAACGTCCGGTTATATTCTGTTGGATGCGCACTAGGTGTGATATGCAGATGCGGGTGTCCTGTGGCTACTAGCTGTTAATCTGGTAACTCAGGACAAGGATGCTGCCGGATAGCACAGCGTTGACAGTCACAAATGAATCCAGAATACCGCGGCAAGATCGTGAATGTGAATGATTAAACCGCACTGGTCGAAGATAGTACAACCTAGAGAAGTGGGATGCGAGCAAATTATCTCGTAGTACAAGTAATTCGCTCATATTGACCCGGCAGTCAAGAAGAAAGAAACGTGACTAGAAAATGTCGGTGTCAAAACGCCCAAAATGGGTGTGACTTCTTCACACACAAGTTGCCTGATGACAACTGGTCAGAGCAAAGTCAAAGCTGCGACGAACCGTTTACGTATAAGCAACAGTGAGTTGTCGAGACGAATAGGGATCAATTCCGCCAGTGCAAGGATTCGACATCTAACAAGTTTGGAATGGACGCTCCTCACACGGTAGATCGGGCAGAAGACTTTATAGGTGACGGAATGATTCGTTTGAACTTGGCGTGCGACTATTTCGGAGTAGTGTTCCACTAGCCTGCAGTCTGAATGGAGATAAGGAAGGTGTATTTATAAAATCTCTCAGGCGCAGTCACTTTTAATGGGTCTTTAGAATGTGGACAAGACATTATTGCATTAAGTTTTCCTCGAACTACAGATGTGCTTTAAGGAACGACTTCTAAAGTTTCGTATATATATGATAAATTTCTGTTTTTGGCCATAATTTCTAATTGTTGGCGGTGAGAACACAGCATGTATGCTTAGTAAGTCATACGCAGCCATACACACACAAATATTTCAAGTCGGCAGCCATTCACACATCCCCATTAGTAACCTAGTACAACGAAGCCCTTGTTTGGTTTCAAAACTAACTTGTGTTATCTCATTTCAATCATAGTAATTTCAATAAATAGCATACAACTATTGCTTATTGCAAGATACGGGGCAACGAAAGAAAGGAAATTATTTCATTTTTATCCAACTTTCATGCGAATTTTCGCACTGCATAATGGAACGCTACTCTAGTTCTATAATACACGTCTCGTTCAACCCTTGGCTTAGCGACGCTGGGTGATACTGCGGGCATGTTGAGACAAATAATCACATTTTCGATGATTCATCGGCAAACAGAATACAACACAATGATATAACTAGGCTAAGAAAGAAGATAGGTTAAGTAACTGGAGAATGAAGGTGTCAACATGAGTTGACCATCCTTCCTTTGTTCAAAATAAGAGGTAACCGCTGTGTTGCACGGAGTTGCCAGGTCCTGCTCGTGAGCCCACAGCGCTAAGTCTCATAGGTTAGGAAACTCGATTTGCGTGTCCAGTCGGTTTGCCTGATCTAAATCCGCATCATGAATCATTTAACGGATGGCTAAGCAGTGTTCTTGCGGTGCTCTACCCTGAAGTATTCTTGTATCTACTTAAATTTGATGCAGCACATGCTGCATGACGAAGTTTCTGTTGATAGCGTTTGCTGTACGAGATTCGTCTACCATGGTTTCCGAAGAGTAGTTTTTGAAATCTGCCACCACCGAAGACACGGGAAACACTATCGAAACCATTGTTTGCTTAAGTTGGTGCATTGTGCGTGTTAAACTTCCAAGATTACAGATTCTTTAACGGCTATTCATTGTGTATTATTTCCGTGTAGGAAAAGGACCTACGTCGCCACCAAAGTTTTCACTAAAAAGAGCCGCTACCGTCACCCATGGCTCAGTGACATAAGTTCCTGACTCGCAGGAGTAAAGTCGCGGGTTCGAATCCGGCAGGATTCGGTGGGTGCGCGCTACTGACGAGTCCCAATAGGACGAAACGGCCGTCTAGCGCATTTCTTGATGTGTGGTGGCTGTCTGCCTGTGTCTACCTGCAACGAAGATATACAAAAAGAGGATATTGTATTTAATTTGATTGATGGTCCAGTCCTCGTACTTATATTAACCCCCCATAAATGCCATTTTACCCCTTTGGTGGTAATTACCCCTAGGCTGAGAAGCACTTGGCTAAGGCATACGAAGCGCACCATATCATATTCCTTTACCACCGGCACAAAAAATATCTTGATGATCCAATAATACATTCAGCCAAATACAGTGCACGAAATAAAGACCAACCCATGCGCGAACATTATCCCGCTATAATAAGTGCTCGCAATTCAGAGCAAGAAATTCGAATAAAAACAAACCCATTTCAACTGTATAAAATGTGACCGAACAACTTGGAAGTACGTAAACTATAGCCATTAAAATATAAAAAGCATACCAATTGCGAAGAGTATTCTTTTCCATAATTCACTTCAGGCAAATAGTTGCAAGGCGAAGACAAACGTGACAGGCAGCGATGGCTGGGACGGTGGTTGTTTGAGTCAATAAAGTCGACCGATTCAGGTTTAAATCAAATGAGAGCGCGTGAGCACACACACAAGCACAAAGCATGGGCGCACTGGTACATGGGACGACTATGGTCACCCCCGGTCTTAGTAAATGTCCGATGTGAACCGACTAAGAATATGGTCAAGGCAAGGTGAGAGTTCGCATAAGTATGTTCTCCGGCTGACGCATCGATAAGCTTGCTCGAAGCACGGAAACAGCATACAATGCGCACCGAGCTTCAGCGTGCCTGTAACTCCCTGGAAGGACGAATGATAAGGAGTCTTCGAATTGAGCGTGAATGTTGATGAATGACACTGACCAGTGAGATGAAGAGATTCAGTACTGTTGGGAACAGCCGAAAGCTATTTCATCGTATTCCTTAAAGGCGTCCAGCAAAGGCCTCCAATTAGTGGAACAATAGCTGCGAAAGATAGACGGAATGTGTTAAAGATCAGTTAAAACGCCTGCTGCGACACCGCTACTTGAAGAATCATCTGAACACACACGGGAAGTTAACGTCACACTTACTTTGTATGATGGACTACCAGAACTTACACTTTTAAAACGAAACAAAGCCACTGGACCCTACATTTTCCATATTTGCTGAATGATGGAGTTGACTCTTCGTTAACTGAACTTGTTGCTCTATTCAACGCGACCGTTGACACTGAAGATGTGCCTTCAGACAGGCGAATATCATCTGTCGAGCTATCTTTAAAAAGGGATCAGTGGACTTTGTGCTAAAAGCACCGAAGCAGAAGCCTTATTTGCATTATCTCCAAAGTTCTCACGCATTTCATTCTTCGACGACTTACTGGTCCTCGTGGGAGCAGACTCACTGAAAAGCAGATTGGCTTCCACCATGGACATGATTGTAGCGACCACATATTTACTTTTCGTTAAGTGTTAGGGCCGGCAAGAAGACTGAGTATGGTGGTTTCCTTGAACCTAAAAGACGTCTCAAACTCTGTTGACCAAAGCAGCTTGTAGCACTTCATTTCCGCCATGCGAGTGCCTGAGAAATTCCTTTCCAATCTGAAGTTGCCACCGTGACTCCCGAAACCGAATGAGATTCTACGGGAATCTGTCTCCTGGTTCCTGTACGACAAGTGGGGTTGTCTTACATATCCTTCTATCTTCATCTTTGTGTTCGAAATGATTAGGATTGACTCGGTGCTTTCAGGCTCTTCCGAGGGGGAATTTCTGCGAGGTTATCACTTGACAAACTCTGAGTATGCCGACGATATCGCTCACCTTGGTTCTGATGCAGTAGTTATGCAAACCCCTACTGTACGGTTGCGAAACCTGGCCCCTAAGATCGGCGGACATGAAGAGGCTAGTTACATTCGACCATCGGTGCCTTCGGAGTTTGGCTCACATCTGGTGGGAACACCGCGAGCGTGTTCGACGCATTGTTTACGGCCCAGGAAAAGGATCTGAACCGCTCAGCACCGTTATTTCCCGCACCAGGCTCCGATCGCTCGGCCACGTGTTACGCATGCCAACCCACCGACTCCCTCGACGTGCGTTGTTTGCTCACCGGGGATGTGGGTGGAAGAAGAGGAGAGGTGGCCAAGCGATGACTTGGTCCAGAGGAATGAAGGCCCTCACTTCGGAGCTAGCCTCGGTTGGAGCTTCACGGCTCCCTTGTTGGGGTCCAAAAGACGGTGAACACGTTTGGCTGGATACACTTGCTGACAGGGCAAGGAGCCGACCTCAGTGGCGCTCATGCTGTGAGTTTCTTTGTCCCTCCCCATCCCTTTTAGCCTCCCCCTCCATCTAAGATCTTATTTCGTAGGGTAAAACATAATAATTCTTTTTCCTTTTTGCCTAGTAGCTGGCTGGTAGCTTACCGGAACGATGCCTATCTGTTGCTGGGAGCTCAGCTGGCATGAAACAGTTGTATCTATTTTTCCTTTGTGTATTGTATTGTACGTGTGCATGTATTTCCTTCATGTATTGCGGCACAATAGCGGAGGTGTTTTCCCACCTCTAGCTAACGTGTGTAATGATGATGATGAGTTATGCAAACACTATTGGATAGACTGACTCGTAGCGCTGCACGATTTAGCACGTGCTTTGCACCTTCAAGAACTGATACGCCAGTTTCTAGCTATGAGCGAACAGTCACTGAAAGTGGTGAATCGGTATACGTATATCGGTAGTTATGTCATCTCTGGTGGTCACATCACTGAGGTGGTTACCACGAGTAGTAGCAAGGCCCGTAAGGATTTTCAGGCCCAACCACCTGAGAAGACGGTGGCATATCTGCCTGCCAGTATGGTGTATAACGCTGCGATAAGGCGGGTGTTACTGTTTGGATCAGAGACCTGGCCAGTTTGCAGTGAAGACCCTAAACGGTTGAGCGTATTTGATCACTGGTGTATGCGTGATAATGCTCAAACTGATGAGAACAGCGGGTGAGCAATGCTGAGATCTGTCAGTTGGTTTTGGGAGAAAGCCCTCTGGTGCCTATCTGGAGTGCTTACCTAACATCTAGCGCTTACACTGGCCAGGGCAAGTTCTCTATATGTTCGTCGACTGCCTGTCCCGACGTGCATGATTCGCCGTCGCTGCACACTGTTGCGCGAAACCGTAAGGTGGCCAATCGATGACGTGATATAAAGAGGTGAAGAAATTGACTGAAACTTAGGCTGATGCGTGCCGTCCTCGTGGATGACGCATATCAGTGGATAAAAAGGATCAGACGCGTAGTCAGTGGAGCTGCTGCAGTCGGTTTTGTGCGTTTAGATGTGAATTTGCTATCGCGGTGAGTTTATCGCACACCTTCCTTACTTCCATCTTAGCTATATTTTAGTTCGTTTGAGCTCGGTTTCTTATGGCTGTTATGTATCGTCATTCTGGCGACGTAAGTCGTGGCAACTGGAACCATCGCACTTCAGAGCCCGGTGGTTCAAGTGAACTGGACTTAACGGCTCAAACGAATTAACTGTACCTAAACTCTTCTCCGTCTTGGTTATGCGCAGCCGTTGATACTGATGCGGTAATCACTGGTGAAGCCGTGGTGGACATCATTCGCAGCTCCAAGCCTGAGTCATCGCTGGCTGATTGGATTCCAGTGAGTAGCCGCTTATATGGAGTATGTCTGACATCAACAAGGTAGTGCCAGACGCTCTATTAGTTACTGCCGCTTAGGCAATCAATGACGGCAAACCTAAGGCTACAAAAGATGCTTTTTATCACGAACTCAGCAGGTTGCTTTGCAACGCTGTTAGTTCGAATATCATTCTGTTGGCAAAGGATCGAAATGAGAAAACTTGTTGTCTGAACTCATCAGAAGCTCATGTATGTGGTATCTTTGGGGTCAATGGGGAGCGTTTGCTGCAGCTGTGTGCAGAGCAACATCCGCTTTTAGCAGCTAGGTCTTCGAGCATAGAGGTCGCCAATATGACACCTGGCGTCTTCTGATGGCTTGTCAACCATTGACTCAAACAGACCACCTCGCCATAGGTTTCCGACGGTGCGGTCAAACCATTGACTGTCACTCTTTTTAGAACACGTGCGTGAACACTGATCACGTCCTGGTTCGGTGCTGCTTATCCATGAACTTCCAAAGGGAAGCGTATCAAAGGTTTTCCACAACTGGCAACTCAGAAGCTATCTCAACTCTAAATCAAGTAAAACTACTAGGATGCCTGTAATACCAGAATTTCACCTAATTACGCCAGAAGCATCCACCTCCAGAGGAGTGGTATCTCATCAGACATGTATTCATCGTATGGGGACCACAATTCATCAGGATAAACAAACATGATGAGATAAACAGAATTGGGAACAACATGAAATAAAGAGACTATGCACTACCTTTCGAATCCACCGAGAGCGAAAAGTAGTGCCAGAAAACGATGAAAGACGATGCAGATAATTCTCGCACAATTCCCATTGGATCGGCACGATTACAGTGAAGCCAGCAGAGATCTGTGCTATAAGTGAATGCAGATGGAGTGAGAAGATGGAGCGTTAACGTACAGAAATCTCATCGAAGATATGAATAGTTGTATCATGGAGCGTACGATACATACAATTTGGAAAAACAGTTGAAGAATCTGGCAGTAAGCAGAAGAGAAACTGCACGCTGCGGAAAGCATGAAGAAAAATTCCTTCCAAATGTTGCCTGCTTGGCCAAATAATAGGCATGTCGATAAAAATGTTGTGAGTTCATCATAATCCGAAGAACAAATTAAGCATAGAAAACACTCAAAACTAAACATTTGATATGTGCAGTTGGCGCATCGGCGACCGGTAGGCAAATGACTCGTCATAGATTGGTAACCGGGGACGTCGCATCCTGTGAATGTTCGTTATTGTACACCGTCAGATGTTATGTCCGCCAAAATTGTTGCTCATAATTGCACCCGATCTAAGTCAAGTAATCGAAGACGATAAAGTAGAGAAACCGCTCCTGTTGTGATGCATGTCAAAGGTGATCATCAGTACAGTTTAGTTGATGAACTATGATCCGGGCACCGAAGTGCGGTGGATCCAGTTGCCACAGCTTACATCGCAAGAATAACAAGAAATAACAACGGCAATATAGTGGGGTTGAATGCAAACAGAATGTGAAGAAAATTGAAGCAAGAACGAGGTGCGATAAACTAATCAGAACGGAACGAAAATTAACAACTAGATGAGAAACCAATGCAGGAACGCTACTGACTTCGTGACTGCGCCATGTCTGACACTGCCTCCAACCATTAGTGTGGACAGTCCCGAGGCTCCTATTCAGGAAGACGACACGCACGCGGCTGACCAAGTCTTTCAGTCAATTCCCTCATGCCACCATGCTAGGTCATGGACTGACCACCTCGCGGTTTCATACAACTTCGTGCAGCCACAGCACACAATGCATGCCGAAGAAGCCGGTTAACGGGCATACAGAAGACATGCCCTAGTCAACCAAAACGATTAAGATTCAGCAAACACTCGAGAGAGGTTTCTTGCCAAAAACCAAACGGCGGACCTTAGAATTGCTCACCCGGTGTTCCCACCAGACGTGAGCAATACCGCGATCACCGGTGATCAAACACGGTCAAGCGCTTACTGCCTTTTCCGCGAACTGCCCAGATTTCTGATCTATACAGTAACATCGACTTTACCGAAGCGTTATACACCATAACCTTTACTGTCAGGCTGATATCCAGCAGTCTCCATAAATGGAGAGCCCTACGAACCCTACTGATACGCGAAGTACCTTCCTCAGTGATGTAACCAACAGAGTTGACACAGCTACCAAGGTGAGTGAACTACCACCAATTTCGGTGGCTGTTCGGTGATAGCTAAAAACGGAGATGTGTCGGTCCAGTCCTGCATCAGCACTTGGAAGATGCGAAGAACAAGACGAAGCATGCATTGCCAAGATTCAGCAGTGCTCGCATAGCCCTTTGTCCGACCCAAGCAGAGCTATACCGTCCGCATATTCAGGGTTTGTCCGCCAGTAACTCGAAAGAACTTCCATCCGGGAAAAGGATAAAAGAACGAAGTCATTCATGAACATTTCGATCCCAAAGCTGAAGAGGGAAGATAGAGGACAACACTAGTTAACCGCAGTTGTCATGAAAGACCCTCACACGGTCTCGAGGTAGCGCTAGAAAGATTTAAATAGTAGTCTTCCTGACAAGTCCTGCATGGACATGCACTGCCATAAGCAGATACGATCAAAAGTGTCAAGGGAAACCACCATTGTCGGTCATCTATATGTGTGCCTCTGCTTAAAAACTTGGCGAAGAGTAAACATGCGGTCGATACAACCACGAGCAGGGTGGAAGGCAGCCTGGTTTTCAGTAATTTAGCTCTCACGAAGAATGATACTCGTGGGAAATTTGGAGGCAAAGAAAACAAGGTCAATGCCTCAATGATTTTCGCACAAACTAAACTGACCCATCTTGAAAATGGGCACAACAGTTGACAGTCGCCAGTCAAAACGCACCTCTTCAGCGTTCCAAATCGTGATAAATAGAGTAGGGAGTCTAAGCAAAAAGGTCCACCACCATGTTTCAGCAAAGATAGAGGAAGGTTGTCGGGTCCAAGAGCCTTATTTGGTTTCAACACGGAAAGCTCACGTCGAATCTTTTTCAAAGTGGGACGTGTCACAACTACTTCCCAAGTCTGCTCACTGGATTCGATAAGCGACAGTGTCGTAGCAGGTCTGCTGAACTGCTTTTTAAAATGTTCCGTCGAACGGGCCAGTCAACGACGTTGGGAAGGGATCAACTGCTATATTTCTGAGCTATTGTCTCGCTAACGGACGGCTTTCTGGGACCCGTGTTCCGGATGAACTGGTATAGCACTTGGTACGTTTTCCACTGAATGTACGGATAACTTGTTGTTACCGCGCAACCTGACCGGCCGACTTTCCAGGTTAGGAGAAAAAGTCCTCAGACGAAAATGGTATTGAAACCCGGAAAGCAGTACAAACAATAGCAAAAATGGGGTCGAATCAATAGTTAAAAAGGGAATGGCCTATCCCTCATTGGCAGACTTCAAAGTAGACCATCCTCATGGGTTGCATTTAAGGTGTAACGTCATCATTAGCCCGCTCACACTGCTTGGCTGGTAAACTTCGGGCAGTGTCAGGGTCAATTGTTCCGGGCTGCTAGCAAAGGAGTGCCGGCTCCCTTAACATCTCCCCGCGGAAAGTATAATACGACTTGTATGCAACTGCATTCTGGTGACGGATCTACGTACTCCATCAGTCCGGCGCCGTGCTCTCATTTTGGGCACTTTTGGAACTTCTGTGCGAGGTGCATCCGAAGCGTTCTGAGTATTTGATGGCATATCGAAGCTGTCCAGTAGAAGATCCAGCGGCAGCAGTCGATTACTTGTGATTGTCTGGGTACTAAATGGTCGCAGCTAAGTAGCATGCCTGGTCCACATAAAGGTGCCCACTCTGACCTCATAGAGTACCTTACCAAGTATTCTCTGGATCGATTCTATCACGCACTGAGGATATCCCACGCGACAGTCGCTGACCAAAACACATTGCCCTGGGAAAAATTGATGTGCCTGAGTTCCGTATACCTTACCATTTGCAAGTTTCTTCCTTGCGGGATAGTACGCCTCGGAAGCAGCAAGGAATTCACAGCACAGTGCTTTCTCCCAATTAATGTCTGTGTTGGCGACGATGGATTTGGCACCTGGAAATTCGAGGATGATCTATACACTAGCAGAAAAGCATCCAGTATCTCATGCGTAGTTCTATCTCCCCTCATCTTTAGTAGCGAGCGCTTAAATGTAGCAACGAAGCGTTCTGCTTGTCCATTTGATAGGGGGTGAAACGGCGGTGAGCGTAGACGTGTGATTCCATCCTGTGCGCAAAACTCGGTAAACATGGAAGTAGCGAACTAAGAACCATTGACGGTGACTAAGGTTTCAGGTATTCCGTGTTGGATAAAAACTCTTCTTAGAACGTTGATTGTTGCATCCCTTGTTGTATGCTTCATGGATAAGACCTCAGGCAACTTGCTGTTAGAAGCAACAAAGACCACATGCTGCTGACCACTCACGGGACCAAAGAAATCAGCGTGCACTCGTTCCAAAGGCTTTGTTGCCATTAGCCAGGAAGATAGTTCAGCCTTTGTGGGTGTTTTCGACTTGGGATGAACGCTTGTACAGATCCGGTTGACGAGAACAACCAGAAGGTTGAAGCGTTCGATCCTATCTAGCCCAAGGCGGTACAATTTCAGGTGACTTGTAACGCAAATATTTTCCCAAGCGGTGAAATCGGTAAAGTGGCACCCATATTCAATCTGACCGAGTAAATGCAATTTGATTGTTTGTTGGCCGGTCAGTTTAATGTCAGGCGCGCCAATAGTCTTCCATAGGTTTTCCGAAATGACACTGATGTGGGATGCCGTGTCAATTTGCAGATGTGCCAATCTCCCGCTGATGCAGATAGTGACAAATTTCCTCCTATCCCTAACATCCTCGGTGAAGTTGGCGTTTATTCTTCTTGTAGACTTGCCGGGCAGTGTATGCTGGCCTGAGAGATACTCTGGACCTGCAGTAGGTCTCCTTGTGTGCACTTTTATCGTACTTCCGGCAGACATGCTTGCTAAAAAGGTAGCATTCCATTAAATGCTAACCTCCGCATTACCGGCAAGCTGATGGGGGTTTGACTTGTAGACATCTGTGCTTATTTGCTGGGGTGTTACCCATGGAAAGTGGCTGGACAGTAATATCATCAGGAGGAACCTTTGAATTCTCCACCATAGCTGCGTCGTGCTTTAAATTCATAATCATTTAGGCTTAATCAACATGTTGTAAGATGACATCCGGGTCGCGTCCCAACATCTCAAGTGTCCGGATCCGGATTTCGGCATATTGGGGAGACTGCAAATTGCACACGAATATCAGGCACTCGAAGTGATCTTCGGTAAGCGAATTTAGTTTCTGTCATCCACGCTTTACTATCGCTGCATGAGCAATAAAACTGTCGCAGTCCTTCTTGCGAAGCTTTAAACAATTGTACCCACTATTAAAAAGTGACGATTGGTCTCCAAACATTTCCGTGAGTCTGGTAACTGTGTCATCAAAGCTGAAATCATGGGCGCTCTTTGGCCAAATGTAACCGAGTTATCTGTCATGATCGACCGTACATGGTTTTCGTAACAGCAAATAAACTTTAGATGCAACGTCAAAACTTGACAACTCTGTCCTGGAAGCATCTTCACATCGTCTTAACCAAGCACCTAATATTAGTCCTGAATCGGAATCAAAAATGGTCTCACGCTGTTGGTTACTGCGTCCGCTGAAGGCTTCCCAGTGTTCTGTATGGGCGTGGAGTGAAGAGATAACGTTCGGATGAAAGTCTCAACCGTTCGCAGCCGTTCGGCATCAAATTGCTGATGCTGTTGCAACCAAATAGTCTTCAGGTCTTAGGATGAGATTAAGCTCCTGATTTAGTTCACCTCTGTCACCAAAATCT